AAGGGCACTGACATCTCTGAGAGGAGGCTTATGTTTTATTCTACTTTTGTGGCAAGCTTGGATCTTCTGAATCTCACTTTAATCTGTCAGATAGTGCTATTACGATGGGTTTTGTTGCTTTGTTATAGGAAGGGAATGATCTGTGGCTTGGAAGAGAAATACTTGAGCAATTCCAAAAGTGCAATTCTCATTTTTTAAATAGAATTTTAGAAACTGGTGAATAGTAAATAAGGACGTAGCCTATCCTTAGATATATTCCATTTGCTGAAAAAACAAGGTTCAGAAAATGCATCTTGTCTGAAGTCTTGTAGAAAGTTAATTAAAGAACTAGAAAAGAACCCAAATCACTGGGACTTACATCCCATATCATTTAGCCATTCCATCGTGCTGCTGATTATGCTCTTGACCAGCAGTTCCCAAATAATAAGGAGCAAAGATGGAGAGGCAGCACAAATTTTTAGCTGACAAAGTCTTCCGATTTCCTCAGGAGACCAAGGAGACAGAAGTGGCCAAAGGTTGAGAGGTTACAGGGGAGTTTTGAGGAGAGAGGGGTCTGTGGGATCTGGGGGCGAGAGAAGGAAAACATGGCAGCCACGAAGTAAAAGAAGTTGGAAATTGCCATGGTGAAATAAACGTCCTGGTAATAACCTGATTTTGGTACTGTAGTGGTAGGTGTTGTGTATCAGTCTCTTCATCTAAAATCTTTTTCTGGGGGGTTGCTGTGAGGTCAGCTCCAGTAAAGATTAGCTATGGTAGGAAAAGGCAGACAGCTCAGAGTAGGACAGGACTTCGATGAATGAACTCTCTTTACTGGAAACTGAGTCCTCCTTCCACCCCTCCCTTCTCTGATGCTGCCAAGCTGTTCCTTCCACACAGCTTTGGAGCAGTGCTGATAATTACAAGGTAACGGGAGTGTTCACAGGGAGCTTAGATCACTGGATCCCCCCTTCAAGATACCTTCCTTACCTTTAACACTCTCCCTCCACTCTGACAGGGACAGTCTGCTCTTTGAGACTTTCTTCAAACGTACCTCTGTGAGTACAGCTTTGCCAAGCAGGAGTTTTTGAGCTTGCAGGTCTGTAGAAGTGTGCAAGATATGCGCCAAAGGGTGGGAGCCAGCCACTAGATGGTATCATCCACTTTCTTAGTTGGCTTTGTTTGCTCTGCGGGCTGGCCCACAGCTGGCGATCAGCAAACAGCCTTATAAAGTTTCATCTTGTTGAGCTTTTTTTTCTTCCACACAGCATGTCTCAACAAATCACTTTACTAGATCAAATTCTAATCTCAGTCAAGCCGGTGTAAAACCAGAGATTCTCTCATTTCTGACCAACCAAAGCTATCATTTTTCCCTTCAGATGGTGAGAGCTGATTATAGTGTTCTAAGGGAAAGTTAAACATCAGTCTTTTACCCTTGATACTGACAAAAAGCCTGTGTATTTTTAGGAACGAAGAATCAAGTAAAAATCAGGGAGTGACTACTATGTTTTAGAGCAGCAGCCATGTCACCAAAATGGACTGCAGCCATATTTTGGTTCTAGAGTCTCCCATAAGTTAAGGAATTCAGACTTAAATACTTTGTTGCTAGCAATGTACTGAAGAACATATTTGAAGTTTTGCTTTTCTTCCGTTTCTTTGAGAGCTTTAATAGTTTCCTTCATGTTGTTTAAGTAGCTCTTGACAGCAGAGAGCAAAATCTGTGGCAAAAAAATTGCACCTACTGAGAACGGATTACCGTTCCGTACCAGAGTCTCTGAATTTTCCAGTAGGACCTGAAGATACTATACATAATTCTTCTAAGAACGAAATTGTTTTCAGGGATTCCACGTGCTGTGGAGGCTAATTAAGGATTAATTAAGCTAGGAGTAATCTCTTTTCCTCCTTCCCTTTCCATCATCTAATGATTTGTCACATGAATAAAGGCCACGGCAATATTGCAAGTATGGTACAGAGAGTCTAATTTCTGCCTGTTTAAACATGTTACTGTTTATTGTGTAATGACCCTCTCAAAAATTAAGTAATTATTTCTGGTTATTGGTTATATGACAGCATAATTATAAAGCTAAATGCAATGTTTTGCATACATGTTTCTCATTTATCATATTTGAGCACTTTTGAGCACTGTTATTCCCTTTGTAAAGATAAGCCACTTTTAAAGTGTTACGTATGTTTAGAGGGCAACAGGGCTGACGGACAGAGTAGGTGAAGTGAGTCACAAATTGATTATCTCAGAAGCTAGACACAGTAAGCCCATGAAGAATTTTTACTCTAAGAGGGCAACTCTGAACTCAGTTTAGAATAAAATGAGTGGGGATGAAAAGCGTTAAGACTTCTCAGAGTCAAATAGCAACCGAAAGCAGGAGTCTAGAAGACTAAAAACTGTAAGAAGGCTTTTGGAAGAGGCAACACCTTTTATTTGTTAAGTGCAACATAATAAATAACAACGGAAGAAAAAGTAAGGGGCCTGCATCTGCTCCCACGTCCAAAACCATTCAATCTGTGTAATCTGGAAGTCAGTAGACCAGTTATTTACTGCCCTGTGAACCTTACCAACAGTTAACATCATTCTTTTATGGCAATACATAAATCTGCCACTGGACTATCTTAGTTGAATATAGTCTTCAACTTTATTGAGCTCCATACACGTTTCATTAGAGCTACGAAGCATGAATGTGATGACTTTTTTCAGAACGATGTAACTAATCTCTAGATCAAATTTTTCTTTAGTTCACTTTTCTGGTGACTGTGGCAAAAGCAGGTTTTGGAAATGAAAATTGCTAATGACAAGAATAATGTTTCCAATTAAAAAGGCAGTGTGGTACTTTTAATACATCCTCAACGGTATTGTTGAAGATTGGGGAATCATTGCTTGGTCCCTGAAGTGAGTTTTTCATCATATGGTGTTCTCTAGCAGAGAGAAGTAATGGGGCTAGGAAGGCATTACCATTACACTTTCAAGGCATGATGTTAATAAGTATGGTATTGACTCCAGAACAAAATGCTATAGAGTGGAGCTAAGAGGCAATGAAATACTGCAAGCTAATGGGAGAGCCCAGTATTGTTTATAGATAGTTGAGTTTAGTCAGCAATTTTTCATACTGATTTTTTTTTCAGATTCATTGCTGTCCGGAAGAAGTTGTGGTATGTAATAAGAAATTGATAGTGTAGGGTTGCTGTAGCCATGATAGCCTACAGATGAAACCAAGCAATGCTGATAGAGACAGTTAACATCTTTTATTACCTCTACTCCAGGTACAGGTTTGTCTTAAGTTGTCTAACCAACTAACATAAGTTAAACTTAGAGCAATTATTTTCAAACTGTAATTAACCTAGTGTTTCTTGCCTCTGTTTTAGATCTGAAAAAGTTTTCTGTGAACAGAAGTGTATAATTTTTTTCCTGACTGATGTGCTGAAGAGACTAACTTCTTACAAACTTTACTTCATTAAGAAATATGGGCAGTTCTTCCTTTTCAAACGTCTGCTTGCAATAGAAAATATGATAGAGGAAGGAATGCATTTCATGGGGCCACTTTGAAATTAATCATGGACAGGTTTTCTTTGACATTTCTTGACTGCATGTGACTCTGGACGTATGTGCCCACACAGAAAAAGGTGTAAAATAAAAGTAGCAGTTTGTCAGAACAAATGCGTATTGCTGCACTATCAACGCTGAGCTATCATTACTGACGGCTGCTTCTCTGCCCACAGAAGCCGCAAGAGTCATTGTGTTTCCGTGCTAACGCAACAGTCTCTGGCTAGGAATTGTGCAGGCTGACTGCATGTGTTTGGACTGGTCATTTTAAGGAGTTATATTCAAAAACACATTTTAAATTAGAAAATATTGACGTTAGGGTTCCCACAGCCCCAAAGTGTGGCCTGTGCGTTATGCTTCTACTTCAGTCTTTGTCTTTCTAAATGTGTTGTTTACTGTGCGTATGTATGCTTATATAAATTTA